TTTATGTTAATGATTTTCAATATACATGATTATATATATCTATACATTTATATTAGAACAAAATAAAACTAACTCGACCTAACTTACGAATCCGTATTTTAAACCGCGACCTACCCCCACACGTATAATATACATGGGGGTGGTCCAGACCTAATGTCCCAGGAAGACCCCACTTTTATTGTTTAATTTATTTGTCTGTAAAAAAAAAATTTTTTTAATTGCAAGTCATGTGCCCACTAATTTATCATTGGTCCAAATTATTTATAGAAACGATCTAAATCAATAAATTAATTTTAAATCTTTTAGTTTTTAAAAAATGGCAACAAAAGAAGAAATAAAACAAGAATTAAACAACGCAAAGGTGAGATTGGATGAGGCAATGAAGAATTTGAAGACATTTGAAGAAGGAGAAGACTATGAGAAGTGGCTGAAGAAGTTGAGGAGAAAGTTGGATAACAAAGAATGGGAGGATGAAGAACAGAAAAAAAGGTGGGAAGAGAGTGTAGAAAAGTTGGAGAAGGAAAAAGAAGAGTTGAAGGTGAAGGTGAACGATTGGGAAAAGCAGGTGGAGGAATGGGGGAAGGCATTGAGAGAATTTGGTGGAGGGGAAGGTAATGAACAAATTGCATAAAAAAAATTATTTTTCGTTCATTTCTATTTCATTTATTTATCTGTTTAAGAGAACATTTGTTTGTCCTTTATTCACTTCATTGATTACAACTTTAATTTTTATTATTATTATTCTTACACCATAACTATCTTTTGTTATAACCTTTTACTTGTTTATCAATTAATCTTTTCCTCTACTTATTATGGTCTTTTGTAATCAGGAAAAAAACTAAATATCAAAGATGCATTTCCTAATGGTATGCAATTGAAGATTCTTTTCATTATGGAATTTTTTCCTAACTTGAATTTAACAGTATCCATTATTATTATCTTAGGTTTGAATTATAAGAAACCAATACCTTTTCTTAGTACCTCTGGTATAGAATGGGATTATCAACCAGCAGAAACTTTGCACAAAATCCTGCAAATCAATCTTATAGAACATTATCAATCCATTTGTGAAAAAAGACCAGACAAAACTAAGAGGCCAATCTATCTTTTTGCCTCTGGAGCTGGTACAGGCAAATCTCGTAATGCAAATGAATTTCATAAGACATTGTTTAAGTGCTTACCAGAAAAGAAATCAGAACTGAAGGAAAGGATTAAAAATGCATGGACATTTCATGTTGCTCTTGAAAATGGAACGGTTTTGAGTGATAATGAGCCTAGTCCATATGATGCTATTGGTACTCGAATGTTGTTCCAACTTAACCCCAACAATTTGAAACTAGATGAACTCGTTAAAAAATATGAAGCACCATCTCCATGGAGTGTCTTAGAATTAGTTGCTAAAGGAGAAAATCAGGATTTGAAAAATGCTACAGTCATACTGGTTGTTGATGGTCTGCATAATATTATGCAGACCAGGGAAGATGGTTTGAATAGGGAATCTTTATTTTATACCACTTATGCAAAAATTGCAGACCTTGCACTTGCTGACGAGAGTACTTTCTTGATTCCATGCTGTACTATGACGATTACTGGTCCAATTGAATCCTGGCTTAAATATTCATTCCGTAAACGTGTTTATTTACCAGTTGCTTCTTTGAATCCACCAACCATTTGTCAAGACCATGGTGTAAAACAGGCCTTTCCAATGGATGATCCTATCATAAAAATCCTAGTAGGTGATTGTGGAGGGCATGGGAGAGCCCTCGAGATTCTTCAAGACATCCTTAGGGAATATGACATCAAGGAATATGATCCAGCTGAGGTGATGAACGCATTACATTACCAGCTTAAGTCCAAGTATCCCAGTATTACAGAAATTCCCATGAAAGAAGTTAAAATTATTGTACAAGCAATATTGACACACCAACGTTTTGATTCCAACAGTCCAGTTCCTGGTACAACTGAACTTCCAATCAAATTTACACACCCTGGATTGATACGATATGAGAGAGTTGGTGATTCTGGATGGGGGCATTTCCATGCACCATATGTCTGGGTTTGGATTATTGCAAAATACATTGAAGACGAAACCATTTTATCATGGCAATTTGATGATTATATTCATTGTAAATTAAATGTAGAAGGTGTTAACTTTATCTCTTGGAGAGAATTTGAACATTTTAATGCAAGGTTTTGTTGCATGAAGTCAAAGATATTTAGTGAAGGTTATGAAACAAAGATTTCAGAGATACATGCTGGTGCATGTTTGAAAGGTGATCTTATATTTAAAAATCATCACTTACAACTACATACTGCCAGCAATCAAGTAAATACATGTACATCTATAGCTAATTCCAAAGAATGGATGGTTCATTGTGAGTCTGAAAATGTCAATATTCGAGAGCACAAATATTGCATCCTTAATGCAGGATCTGCACCATATGGTGATTGTTTTCTTTCCTTGGATTCATCAAATGCTTCAAATGAAGTCCATCAGTACAAAAAATATTCCGATAAAACATCATTCAGTCAACAGGATTACATGAATGAAAGACAGAAAGCAGCATCTAATCAAGATTTTTTTCTCCTTTTTACAACTAAAGAGTGTAACATTGAGCTTCCAGATAATTCAGGCATTGTGGATAAAAAAATCTGGAATGATTACTTTGGGCCATTTTCTGGCAGGGCCTTTGTATTTGCTGATGAAGGACCTCTGAATATTAATACTGCAAGTCATACACAACTTCAACTAATAGAAGGAATTGGCAAAACTTATGCAAATATCATCATAGAAAAAAGAAAATATTGTGTGTTTGATAGTATTAAGGTTGCACATGAGGAAACAAAAATACCAGAAAAATTTTTAAAGAAGTTTAAATTTTCATAAAAATAGGAAATTTATGATTACTTAAGGTCCAATTATTAATTAACTAGTAGAGCAATAATATAATTTTTTTAATGTCACTATTTAGTGAAATATAGTTACATTCTCATGTTTGGGTGGGAACTGTGATTATATGTTCATACAATTAACTCTTGCTTTATTCTATGGACAAACAAAAAATCCCCCATCTACAGTCCCTGGCGAAAGTAATGGCGGTACAATGAAATATTATTTTTGCTAAGTTTTTATTAAGTAAATCGATCTTTTTATTTTATATTAAATAAAGTTGTTCACAATGAAAAATTCTACATATCCTAAAATTTTTATGAAGTTTAGAGAAATTTTTTTGATGTGTTCTTGCACTTTACATTTGTGTAAAAAAATTTGATTTTTCTATTTTGTAAAAGCGTAAAATATAAAAACATATTAAAAATTTTTATCCAAACTTCATAAAATTTTTAGGATACGTGGAATTTT